TAGTGGAGACCTGGTGTGGCGCTGAGGGCTAAGGCGTCAGACTGCAAAGTCGTTTGAACTCCAAAGTCGGTGGTTCAAGATCACCAGCTGCTCCTTGGACGACACCCTAAACCGGGTCGCTATGGGCCGGAATCGACTCGATGGCATTTAACAATGACAACAACACTAGTAAGATATGCTTACCATGAAAAGGTCAATCTTTGAGATCAAAGTTGAGAAGGGAAGGGAAGGTGGGTGAAATGCCAATAGGAGCTGCAGGGAGGAAGCAGAATGATTGTTGGTGCAGGAAGGGGACGGCAACCTTAAGATGAAACAAAGTGCAATGTAAAACTGATCATCTTGTCTGTAAACCTCCACTCAATTCACAATAAAAAGAATATGGAGCAAGGATAGAGGCAGAAGGAGACGGGAGCAGCTAACCATTCCACAGATTTCCATAACGTGGTGGCGCAGTGGGTTGGGCTGCTACCTGAAAGGTTAACAGTTCAAATCCACCAGCCTCTCTGTGGGAGACAGCCTTGGACACCCTACAGAGGGTCGCTGTGAGTCAGAAACGGCCCCCTGACAGTGGGGTTGTCAGTTAGTCATCCTGGTGGGTTTTGAGTATCCACTTTCTTCTCTCTTCACTGCCTTGCTCCCACCCTTCTGCTCCCTCCTCTTTTCCTTCGTTCTTGCTTCATGTGTGTGCTCACTGCTGCACCTCCATCACCTAGAATACAGCCTGGCACATAAAGTAGACACTCTCCACGTATGGGTGGAGTGAACGGGCTAAATAGTTCCGTGTAAGAATCAGAGCTGGAGAGGGGGATGCAGAAGACTGACAGAGAGTGAGGGAGGAGACTCTGAAACCAGAAATCACAAAGGAATCCACTGGCTCTCTGCAGAGATGAACACAGTAGAACAAAGCATCATACTCCAAGCCGACAAACTATCCGGCAACTTTAAAATGAATGAAATCTATCTACATGTCCTCATGAGGAAAAGGTCTATCATATCATATCAAGTAAAAAGCATGTTACAGGAGAAAAACACCTAGACATGACAGATAGATAGATAGATAGATAGATAGATAGATAGATAGATAGATAGAAAGATAGAGACACATACATACATAGATAGATAGATTGATACATAGACAGACAGATGACAGATAGATAGATAATAGGCAGATAGATGATAGATAAATAGATAGATAGATGATAGGTAGATAGACAGATGATAGATAGATAGATAGGTAGATAGATGATAGATAGGTAGATAGATAGATAGATAGATAGAGACACATACATACATAGACAGACAGATAGATTGATACATAGACAGACAGATGACAGATAGATAGATAATAGGCAGATAGATAGATGATAGATAAATAGATAGATGATAGGTAGATAGACAGATGATAGATAGATAGATAGAGAGATAGATAGAGAGATAGAGAGATAGAGAGATAGATAGATGATAGATAAGTAGATGATAGATAGATAGGTAGATAGATGATAGATAGATAGATAGATAGATAGATAGATAGATAGATTGATAGATAGAGACACATACATACATAGACAGACAGATAGATAGATTGATATATAGACAGACAGATGACAGATAGATAGATAATAGGCAGATAGATAGATGATACATAGATAGATAAATAGATAGATAGATGATAGATAGGTAGATAGACAGATGATAGATAGATAAATAGACAGATAGATGATAGATAGATAGGTAGATAGATGATAGATAGGTAGATAGATAGATAGATAGATAGATAGATAGATAGATAGATAGAGACACATACATACATAGACAGACAGATA